ATTGTACCCAGGCAGCAACTTGTCTTCTCCGCGAGAGTAAAGTTCTTTTTGGAAGACCGGCGTGTTTCACTAAGATGGGCTGACTCCGAGGTTATTTGGTAATTAAAATATTTCAACTGTTAGATTCAGAGGAATATAATAAGGAGTTGGTCACAAAAATGTGACAACATGACCTAAAAAATGTTAGATCTGATCCCGGACGGGGTGCCTTAAGAGTATTTCGGTAGAAAGACACGTGCGCAACCCTGCCTTATAGCGGCCTTATACGCTCAGCAACTTCTTCTAATATTGTTGATAAGCTAAATTGCCCTGTTGGTCACGTGTAACTTAACACATGCACTTGGACGAGCTACAAGCTTGTTGCTAAGCACCCACGTGGGCCCACGTGATTGTTGCCACGTGACCACGTGACCATTACCAATCTAGCTAGTGGGTCGAAGTGAAGGTGCTGCCTACGCTTAACGATACAGTTAGAATATATAATACATCTTCTCCGCTAGCTCTTCTCCCCCATTGACCGTATATCTCGAGTGATAATTTGCAATTGTTGTGACTTGTGATACTACTATTAGTAGAATTGAGTTACTTGTCAGGACATAAACTGGCGATGAAACCTTTTACCTGCCGACGCCTGACACAAATCATTCTTATTTCAAGGAATCTGGTACCAAGACACTGGCTAATTGCCAACTCTGAACTTCCATCAATGTGTAACGCGTATCACGTACACTTAATATACACTGCAACTCTATCCGGAAGTGAATTGGTGTGAAAGTTTATTTTTCCGATTGGCATAAATTGATTTGCATGATCTGCTGTAGACAACTTTACCTTTCTCGCATAGCCTTCATTCAGTGTGACGTGTTGATTAATGATCATCTTCACGGCTGATCATGGTTGATTGACATTAGTACTACTGTGACTATTTGTGTGACTATTTGTGTGACTATTTGTGTGACTATTTGTGTGACTATTTGTGTGACTATTTGTGTGACTATTTGTGTGGCTATTTGTGTGACTATTTGTGTGACTATTTGTGTGACTATTTGTGTGACTATTTGTGTGACTATTTGTGTGACTATTTGTGTGGCTATTTGTGTGACTATTTGTGTGACTATTTGTGTAAGTAAACTCTGAATGTTTCGAATAGAATTAGACGGCAGATATATAATTCCCCAATTTGCCCGTAATAACAGTATGCCCAAACATGATTGGGCTAATTAATAACGTCTGTTAAACGAAAAATCAGTGCAGCTATCCACTAAGGTGGAACTCACTGTCTCCAACCCTGACAATCAATGATAAGACCTGTCTTCCAGGTCAGACTCTCCCTGAAAATGCTTGCGGAGATTGCTGTTTGCAATAGTTGGAATAATAATAGTTATTATCGCCGTGATAATGAAAATGCTTGCGGAGTGATAATGGGCATTATGTCGTTACCTCACCCCCGTTTACTCTCTGAAAATGCTTGCGGAGATTGCTCTCTGTCCACTGGATTATCGTCAGCATGTCCCTTATTTGGTGTTAAGTGCTTCCATAACGCTCAAACTACTGTAATATTATTCAGATTATACCAAATGGCTGGTGTAGTGAACAACTATACTTAGCCCAGATCGTCTCACAGCCGCTAGTTGGTTGAGATTGTTTCTAAAGGAGTCGTACGCACTGCACACAGCCAGGTCGTGTTCTACCAAAGCACGAGAGCAGTACAATTTCACATAATAATCCAATTTATATTGTCTTATGCCAGCGTTGGATGATTGAATATATTTGATGAAAGTTCTTTGTGGTATTAAAAGTATTACTCTCTATCATAGTGGCTAGTATACGACATAAACAACGGCGGTCTTGACGTCAATGGTTGCTTTTTTTACTAACCCAAGGAAAATATAATAGCTCCTTTCAATATTTAATCAATGGCTGATAGATACACGTCTTCAGTGGAGTGTGAAGTAAAGCGTGCTTTGTTTTATAATCAATCTATTATGTGATAAGTAAAGTTTGTTTTTGTCGATCAGTTCTGATGGGAGGCTCCCATTGCACCTGTCTAACGTCTTCAATTTGTCAGCTTAGTGGACAACTGTTTTCTTCCTTGTAATTATTAATTAATATCCTATAATTAATTGCGTGACTGAAGATCATTAGTCCGTTTTTGAAAAAGCCTCTTTTTGTAGGGTTTCAAAGGCAAGACTTTTACGATTTCTTACTCCCAATGCCATTGTTAATTTCGTGAACTAATAGCAAGTGTATTTTCCACTCGGGCTAATATTCTATAATCTATAATTTCAACAGAATGATAGTTGGGAAATTTGAGATATTGTTATGTTTAAAATAATATGCAGATAGCTTATATTCATAATCATTAATTTACGGATATCATGAGTGTACAAATTTGTAAATAATGGTCAAAGATGTTAACTTTAACCAAGTGATAAACCGACATGTCTAAATTTTGAAAATTAATCAATAAGTACAAATTAATGCCAAAGTTGTTGACAAGTCAACACAGCTAAGATTCCACAGCTGATTAATCTTAAAACTTACTAAACAATTAGGTTTAGTAAATTGTCTATCTTATCCGCCCTTTTAAGGACATACCTTATTTGGACAATTTGCTTCTCAGTCCTCATAGATAGGGCCGTTTATAAATTTGATTACTTTGGTTTATAAAGGAGTCGTACGCAGTGGTAATGATTTGTAGCCGGTTAGCAAAACAAAAGAACATTCTTTAGTTTTAAAATCAAAAGGATAAACGATGTAACTTTGTAATTGGATACAACGTTGAATGACTTTTAATCAACAGCCGAGTATGGATACAAAGAAATACAAATATATTCAAGTTCTATGAGTACGATCAATGTAACTATGCTATAATACAATATTGAATGAGTTTATGCTCAATCAGTCTATTACTTTATTATTATAGTTTATTCTTTTATCACGTACTGAGATCAAAAGCACTGTCGTTAATTCTGTCGCTCATGCTAATGTTGTTTAATCCGCTATTTAATCTATACACAACAGTATAAATAGTGGCTCGTTTAAATAGTAGTTAAGTGGACCTTTGAAGAATGCAACCAAGACAACATTTAAATTGCATTAATAGCCCTTTTGTTAAGGATCAATAATTGTATCCAATGAATTCAGAGGGCCACTAACAACACGGCATCTCTTAAATCTAAACTTACCTTTTTAACAATTGTATTTAATGAATTCAGAGGACCACTAACAACAAGGCATCTCTTATATCTAAACTTGCCTTTTTAACAATTGTATCCAATGAATTCAGGGACCACTAACAACAAGGCATCTCTTAAATCTAAACTTACCTTTTTAACAGTTGTATCCAATGAATTCAGAAGGCCACTAACAACAAGGCATCTCTTAAATCTAAAGTTACCTTTTTAACAGTTGTATCCAATGAATTCAGAGGGACACTAACAACAAGGCATCTCTTAAATCTAAACTTACCTTTTTAAGCAGACTCCTTATCGGTATCCAACCCTTTGTTTTTATCCAACCCTTTGAAGTCCCACTGTGACACTAATGGACCTGTTCTAACCTCAACACCTGGGAATTAGTTAGGTTTTGCAGGTGTTACAACTGAGAGACAGCTACTTATAAAATTATCTTTTACCCTTTGATAAATGATAATGTCGTTAACTTTAAGCATTGCTTCCTTTTGTATTGGACTGAATTAAGTCTGAACACCAATTTTTAGACTCGATTTTTTCCATAGAAGTTAAAATGATGTTAACATTGTTAACATTGTTAACACACGTCTATGCACCACGCTTATGATCTGTCGATCATCAACATTGACCAAAGAAAAACGATAGACTTTAATCATGCTTCTAATGGTGCTCTTTTCAGTGATTTCATAAATAGAAAAGAGCTGCTTTAATATGATAGCTAATATAATAGCTAATATAATAGTGATAGCTAATATAATTATATAGCTAATCATAATAACATTATGTTACTGTTAGTATAAGGACAGATAGTTTACTTGGTACGTGTAGCACAACCGGTCCAGTTGTAAATTGTTGGATTATTTAACCCATAATTCTTTATTTTAACTAGTCATCTGCAACATTCTTGCAGAGTACGCGGACCTGTAAATGTATCAGTTGCTGCAGAAGTTAGATACAGACTTAATGTGTCAGACTTTGTTAAATCATCACCAAACCCTTTGGAGGGCATAAATCCTCGCAGACTTGTGAAACAATCAAAAGTTTACTAGGTCACATAATTTACTAAATATCTAATATGTAATAGTAACTTGCTCGTATTGGAAACTTTTTTAATTGCAGCGTTAAACGCTAGTCTCTCGCGGACTAAAAAAAATAAGACAATAATTGCTTTACTACATCGGTGTATACCATGTAACCCACGAATGATTAATATTCGTGCCGTACGACAAAATATATAATAGTTGGTAAACTTATTTTTTTAATTTGGAAAACTTATGTTTTTTCTCTGACTCAGAGACAAGAGAAAAGCGATGTATTAACGTTAAAATTGGGCGAAATATTTGTGTCTACAATCATTATCGGTCGGCCGTACATTTGATGATCTTTGTAATATTACTAATTTTCGGCTCTTCCCTCAGCAAATTTAAACTCCCAACGCCTCTTCCACAAGATTTAACGCCTCACCACAGACGCCTCATCCACAAGAACTTTGTAATTAATGTGCTAATGTATGATCGTCTCATGGACACGTGCGCGCGGCTCAACACCCAACCTGATGGTCTGAAGATTCTGTTTATTCGCGATCGCCGCAACTTGCCGCGAGTTTCGTTTGTTTTCACGTCTTTGTGACTCCAACATATCAACCGATGACAAGTTCAATCTATGCCAATATGTGTCCAGGTGCAAGATGCAGCTGTTTCTACAATTTCACCTCCTCTTCCATAATCTGCACCTCCAGATCGGCATGTCTAGCATGAAAATAATATTCCGTAGAACCCCCGCTTTGCTTCCTCCTGGCGGTATACCATGTATAATATGCTGGCGACTACCTACTTAGCTACTTCACCGGTAATTTGCGAGCAATATGTTTGTTTTGTGTCAACTTCAAGTAGCAGTCAGCTCTATAACCCACACGCACACGCACACACGTACAACGGTCCGTGTAAGGATACTTCGCTATTACTACTTTTCTTGACGTCACACTCCTTCCCCTAATCCTCCCCACTTTCCCCCCAGTGCAGCCATCATCATTAGCGTTACAGATCGGATCCTGCTGCGACGTTGTTATTATTAACTTTGGAGACGTTTTGCTTTGCCCGTAGTGGCTGACTCTGTAACCATCTGGCAGGTCATTAGACATGGTCGGGTTATTTTCTCTCTCTCTCTCTCTCTCTCTCTCTCTCTCTCTCTCTCTCTCTCTCTCTCTCTCTCTCTCTCTCTCTCTCTCTCTCTCTCTCTCTCTCTCTCTCTCTCTCTCTCTCTCTCTCTCTCTCTCTCTCTCTCTCTCTCTCTCTCTCTCTCTCTCTCTCTCTCTTTCTCTCTCTCTCTGCAGTAGAGAGCGGAGCGTTCTTTCATGAAACCATGTGCTTGTAGCTTGGCAGCCTAATTGTTGTTTGCAGGTAATTATTTATCTTCCGTGGCAGAGATGAAAGCAAATCTTGCTCAGCTCCGGACACATTATGTGGGATATTACCTATCACGGGGGTGAACCGTTTAAAGCGTAACCGTAACATGTAATCCATGGAGTTGTGCGAGGTGTGAACTTGAGATATTGTCTGTCAAGAGAGCGGAGTACCGACTGGTCACGTGACTATTGGCCCTGGTCACGTGACTATTGGCCCTGGTCACGTGACTATTGACCCTGGTCACGTGACTATTGGTCCTGGTCACGTGACTATTGGTCCTGGTCACGTGACTATTGGTCCTGGTCACGTGACTATTGGTCCTGGTCACGTGACTATTGGTCCTGGTCACGTGACTATTGGTCCTGGTCACGTGACTATTGGCCCTGGTCACGTGACTATTGGTCCTGGTCACGTGACTATTGGTCCTGGTCACGTGACTATTGGTCCTGGTCACGTGATTATTGGCCCTGGTCACGTGACTATTAGCCCTGGTCACGTGACTATTGGTCCTGGTCACGTGACTATTGGCCCTGGTCACGTGACTATTGGTCCTGGTCACGTGACTATTGACCCTGGTCTCGTGACTATTGGTCCTGGTCACGTGACTATTGGTCCTGGTCACGTGACTATTAGCCCTGGTCACGTGACTATTGGTCCTGGTCACGTGACTATTGGTCCTGGTCACGTGACTATACAACTTACAAGTTGTATGGCATATTGATCGCTTCATGGTGACTTGAACTCTCTACGTTTTTATACGTAGGAACACTCACACCACGCATCATGGTGTGTGACGTGGGTTATATGTGTGACGGAACATTGTACACTCAATTCATACAGCCACCTCACACATTTAGTACAAATTAAGTGGTAACTACACACCCTTTCCTCAATTAATCGCTACATCAGTTGTACTACGTCAAGGAACACTACTTAAAGTCAGATTTCTTATTTTCTTCACTTCGCTGATCCATTTTTTTGTTAAAATATATTTCCCCTCTCCTCTCTATTTATTTTATTTTCTCTCCGACAGTTTTATCTTATACAGTATGTGATTTTAAGTTTCTTTTCATACTCCAATAAATCTGGATAATGAAACGTCAGCAAGTCTCGCAATTACTCAGTACGACGCACTCCCCTGTATTTTGAGGTATGAAAACGTGAAGAAAGAGAGTGGTAAGTGCTTTTTACTACCCAGAGAAAATCGTAAGACTGACTATTTAACTCTGAGAATTGAGGAGAGCGTGTTACGCTTGGGTATGGGAGTAAGTACATGTCATTTTGATAAAAATTAATTTATGAATTAATCCCACGGAACGTTATAGGCCGGTCAATAATTGAGAGCACTATTTCTTTTGCAGAGTAATAAAGTTGTCTTACTCAGGAGCACTCTGCACTCTGCACTCTGCACCTTCGTCAAATCATCTTTTATTATTTAACACAACTCTAGACATTGGTATGGATTTATCAGGTTTTACCAGACTATATACACACTGTATATCTTCCATCTTATTAAAGTTATTAAATCAATGAGTCCTAGTGTTTATGTAACATTGCCACCCGCCACACATATCGTTGTTTGTGTGATATTGTGTGATATTTGTGTGATATTGTGTGATATTTGTGTGATATTGTGTGATATTGTGTGATATTGTGTGATATTGTGTGATATTGTGTGATATATGCCGGTGTCTACTACACTCCACATATATTTTACACATGTTATACACGAACCTGAGCTATTCCGTAAAAACTAACCCTACTTTTTCCACCTTTACGCCTCTCTTTTCTCCTCTACCATGCAGCTGATTACTTCATTATACATGTTATTGTCAAAGAGCGAAAAGAAAACCGGCGCCTTTGTGAATTAGAAAGTTATGGAGAATGCTTCAATCTTGTAGTTGTATAGCTTGTCAAATGTTGTTTAAATAGTTTCACATAATATATTCGAATTGCTAATGATAAAACTATTCTCCATTGTATCCTTTTGTAGTTTTGTGGGTGGTTTCTCTAACTTTAACACGACCTTGAGAACAAATTCTAAGACACTGCAGATGTATCAATGGCTTGCAATTTGGTTTCTAGCAGTAGCTTTCTGTTCAGTGCATGCTACAAGTTAATGAATCGAATTATATATGCTTCCCTGAATCTGTCATAAAGACTAAGTGACAGATGTAACCGCAGTAAAATTTGACCTACATCGAGTTTGCTGAACGTGGTTTTACCATGGATTACGACACCCTGTGCATTTTGCACCGCTACCGCAAGGTAACGTAAAACTACATACTTTGTAACTTACGAATATTCTGTTTCTTGTTCGTTGCAGTGTCATTTTGCTAAAGAATCTACCTTAAAGAACGCCCTGAAGTAACACTCAGTTCGAAATTTCATTTGAAAGCTCACCCGTTGTTGAGGAAGACTCGGCGATTAAGGTAATGAGCAATTAATCACGAACCGGAAAAATGAGCGCCTTCGGTTGAAAATTTTGTAAATTCTTTGGTATTTTTGTTGCGCTGCTAAATTCTTGTACTATATTACAACTAAAGAAGAGATGGTAAAGTTTGACGAGCTCAAAAATAAAAGTATCACCTAACTATAATTATGTACAGATTTAGCTTTTGAGGAGCGATGAGTGGGTGAACCTAGCCTGACCCAGTAAGGTCTCTCAAATCTGAAGTCCCCTGATTCGGTTTAGTAGTAGGTACGAGTGTCAACAAATGCAAAGTTGGCGCTATTGTCCTGTACTGACACATATTCACTCCTCCGATCCAAGCTCGTGTCTCATGTCATGTAATATATATATAGTTATATGCAGTAATATTACTAAAATTTATTGAAGATCGGCACGTAGTGGTGTCCACGTAGGTACAGTACTACTCGTGCAGTACATTCGGTTTTAACCGTGCCACTCTGTACGTCCGCAACGTGTTGAGTTTTTCAAAGTAGCAGCAGCAGAATCAGCATCCTTCTCCTTTAATCCTATTTGATGTTCCTCGCTTTTAGTTACACCATGCTCGCCATCCACCAGAGATCAGAGGTAGCCATTCGTGGTATTACGTTAATTATTGTTATATAGCTTATTGTGTGTTGCGATATATTCTTGACATCTCTGGAATTCTTTACGGTGTTCTAGAAAGTAGATGCTTAGCTTCTGTCTTCATGTTCTGAAGGTCCACGTTAAGAGCTAATAGCTAATGGCTTGGCATTTGATCACATACTTGTCATCCGAACTGGGAAATTTCTTGGAATAACCCATTGGAACCCAAGTTCACTGTACATGCTAAATATGAAACCCATTAGTATCTATTATAGAGCTTTGAGCTGTAGTTTATCTGTCCAATTGTAGTGTATTTTGCAAAATACCACGCTCAACTGTGCACTGTAATCAAAGTGAAGACTCCGGGACCACCGCCGAGCTTCAGAAGTGGAAGCTAATCGACACTGCCGACATTAAGTCCAGTATAACTTTGTGCACATGTTAAAAATGTTTCAGTCGAGCACATCGTTTAAAGTAGCTTTCCATTACGAAGAGACATGCTTATATTTTAAAGAGATTTTGATACTTTTAGCACTGCTTGATAAAAAATTATTGGAGGCTCTCATGATGTTAATAAAAAGGAAGATTTCAAGCCTTATTTAAGTTTATTTAAGCCTTATTCGTGTTTCCCTTCGTGTCCAAATACAATGTATTGACATGTTGGAATACTGTTGTGTATTTTTAGATTCACAGTCTTACTTTCTGAAGACATGTTGTTAGGTCATCCTGTTCCTCCAATTTCACAGTCTCACATAAGTTATCCTGTATGATTAACTGTCTTTTTCCATATGTTCGATCAGTACTTGTATCCTCGAACCACTACTTACCGGGGAGACACATACTCGTTTATAAAAACGATCAACTGTCCCGTGTGATTGAGGATAATCATAAGGTCCTTACCATAAGGTCCTTGTCGCTTTTTAATGCTTCTAACAAGTAGTTTATATATCACATTATACAAACATAGTTTTGTCGGCAACCATTATATCTTGAGCTGTTCAAATAGTTCATCATATCTTTAAATTTATATGTTCTGCTATTTACAGACAACAGTTTCCGCACTGGGCTGCAGAAAGAATAAATGTAAAAGTATAATGATTTAGTACGTGTATTATATATTCTAGCAGCTTATTATTAATCGCTACACATCGGTATACATTATTTAATCATTACTGATATCAAATAGTCAGTTTTGATAATAGCTGTTTTGTAATGAGCCTGATCCAGGGACAGCAAGTTTTTTGTGAATTGTTATTCCCGTATGCATGCTTAATTCTTGTTATTTGTTATTGTTATTTGTTATTGTTATTTGTTATTGCCATTTGTTATTGCCATTTGTTATTGCCACTTGACTATGATGTTTGTTATTGCCACTTGTCTGTGACATTGTCTTCAAGTGCTTAACAAGGAGTTAGACCACAGCACAATAAACAACATCAACATGTTGTGGGCAATTGTGGACCTCTCAGTTCACCACTGTGGAGTACGACGATAAACACGTGGACAATTGTCCCCCGCCCATCTGTTCTGCAGTGACTCCCTTCTGTTCTGCAGTGACCCCCTCTGTTCTGCAGTGACCCCCTCTGTTCTGCAGTGACCCCATCTGTTCTGCACAATGCAGTGACCCCCTCTGTTCTGCAGTGACCCCCTCTGTTCTGCAGTGACCCCCTCTGTTCTGCACTCTGCAGTGACCCCCTCTGTTCTACAGTGACCCCTCTGTTCTGCAGTGACCCCTCTGTTCTGCACTCTGCAGTGACCCCCTCTGTTCTGTAGTGACCCCCTCTGTTCTGCACTCTGCAGTGACCCCCTCTGTTCTGCAGTGACCCCCTCTGTTCTGCAGTGACCCCCTCTGTTCTGCACTCTGCAGTGACCCCCTCTGTTCTGCAGTGACCCCCTCTGTTCTGCAGTGACCCCCTCTGTTCTGCACTCTGCAGTGACCCCCTCTGTTCTGCAGTGACCCCCTCTGTTCTGCACAATGCAGTGACCCCCTCTGTTCTGCAGTGACCCCCTCTGTTCTGCAGTGACCCCCTCTGTTCTGCACTCTGCAGTGACCCCTCTGTTCTACAGTGACCCCTCTGTTCTGCAGTGACCCCTCTGTTCTGCAGTGACCCCCTCTGTTCTGCACTCTGCAGTGACCCCCTCTGTTCTGCAATGACCCCCTGTTCCTAGTGTGCTATACAATGACTGCCCTACTCCTAGTTTCCACTAAGTTTATTGAGTTTAGCTGCATAATACCATATAGCAACACCTCCAGCCATATAGCAACACCTCCAGCCATGCTCTCACTGTAGAGCCTTCTTATTAATTACTGCAGGCCTGCCTTCGATTGCAATACAACTCACGGCTCCCCGCCAATCATTGGAAGCAAGAGACCTCCTTAACCAATGAGACGAGAGCTGGGAAACACCCTCACCCAATCAGACGAGAGCTGGGAAACCCCCTCACCCAATCAGACGAGAGCTGGGAAACCCCCTCACCCAATCAGACGAGAGCTGGGAAACACCCTCACCCAATCAGACGAGAACTGGGAAACTCCCTCACCCAATCAGACGAGAGCTGGGAAACTCCCTCACCCAATCAGACGAGAGCTGGGAAACCCCTTCGCCCAATCAGACGAAAGCTGGGAAACTCCCTCTCCAAATCAGACGAGAGCTGGGAAACTCCCTCACCCAATCAGACGAGAACTGGGAAACCCCCTCACCCAATCAGACGAGAGCTGGGAAACCCCCTCACCCAATTAGACGAGAGCTGGGAAACTCCCTCACCCAATCAGACGAGAGCTGGGAAACCCCCTCACCCAATCAGACGAGAGCTGGGAAACTTCCTCACCCAATCAGACGAGAGCTGGGAAACTCCCTCTCCAAATCAGACGAGAGCTTGGAAACTCCCTCTCCAAATCAGACGAGAGCTGGGAAACTCCCTCACCCAATCAGACGAGAGCTGGGAAACTCCCTCACCAAATCAGACGAGAGCTGGGAAACTCCCTCACCCAATCAGACGAGAGCTGGGAAACTCCCTCACCCAATCAGACGAGAACTGGGAAACTCCCTCACCCAATCAGACGAGAGCTGGGAAACACCCTCACCCAATCAGACGAGAGCTGAAAAACTCCCTCTCCAAATCAGACGAGAGCTAGGAAACTCCCTCACCCAATCAGACGAGAGCTGGGAAACTCCCTCACCCAATCAGACGAGAGCTGGGAAACTCCCTCTCCAAATCAGACGAGAGCTGGGAAACCCCCTCACCCAATCAGACGAGAGCTGGGACACCCCCTCACCCAATCAGACGAGAGCTGGGAAACTCCCTCACCCAATCAGACGAGAGCTGGGAAACTCCCTCACCCAATCAGACGAGAACTGGGAAACCCCCTCACCCAATCAGACGAGAGCTGGGAAACTCCCTCACCCAATCAGACGAGAGCTGGGAAACCCCTTCGCCCAATCAGACGAGAGCTGGGAAACTCCCTCACCCAATCAGACGAGAGCTGGGAAACTCCCTCACCCAATCAGACGAGAGCTGGGAAACTCCCTCACCCAATCAGACGAGAGCTGGGAAACCCCCTCACCCAATCAGACGAGAGCTGGGAAACTCCCTCACCCAATCAGACGAGAGCTGGGAAACCCCTTCGCCCAATCAGACGAGAGCTGGGAAACTCCCTCACCCAATCAGACGAGAGCTGGGAAACTCCCTCACCCAATCAGACGAGAGCTGTGAAACCCCCTCTACTCACCCAATCCCACCTCATGCTGTTGTCACGTGAAACCAGGAAGTTTAATGATATAAACGTTAAGCCGCAACAGCTGAACACTGGTATCACGACTGTTTTATGTAATCGGTTTTTTTTCAGTGTAAGCGGACTGATAATGGGATTGCTATATGGCCTGGGGGAGATACGGCAGTAATATTTAAATGGGCAAATGGTCACTTATCATCTACTTAGCATCTACAGTAACCTCAAGTAAATATACTTAACGAGATCAAGTGCATGATATAACGGAAACTTCAGCCACACTTCCCCCTTTAACCCCATCATAAACATTAGTTATTAGTGCAGCCAGGAGTGCTCTCGATAGGCCATATGCTGCTGCTGCTGCACACTGTGACTGTGCGTGTTCATTAATCATTACTAGTATGAAGCAGCCCGGGGAGTGGGGTGTTATAGTGCACATTTACCACGGGGATTGCTGGTGTTTCTAGTGCGTTTCTTGGCAAAGTCACAGTAGGTCACATACGTGTTATGTATAATGTCATGTTTGTAAATAATGTAAAACCTTGTTTTGTTGAACAATTAGTCAGAGCTTTGACTGTTATGTTGGCTTTGTTTAACTATTATATTAATATTCATTCTATCTTACTGCCACCCTAATGTCTCCCACTAATCAAGTTGGATACGTTTAGTACGTTTGCAAAAGTTTAGTATTCGCAAATTAAGTTCTGAAAGCAGTTTAATAATGCCATTTGAAGCTTACCGAACGCCGAAACACTTTTACTATGCTATGTTGTTGGTTAATATGTAGTCTCTTTCTTAAGAATTCTAAAAATTGTCCATTAAGTTGCATCTTGCACCTCTGGATCCTCGTGTCACAATCATAGTTGTTGTCATGACTACCACTTCGACACCTGTCCAGTGCGTGTCTTGCTGCTTGCTTGGATATCACGTGCCCGATTGTAATGCGCTCCTCTAAATTGGATGAAATTTGAAAACCGCGCGAAAACCTCCCACTTCACAGTTCACAGCGTGCAACATACCAGTATTATGTGCCGGTCACATGCCAGTGATGTTTCATGATGGTTAATAGGAGGCCCGGATTGCGTTATTGTAATTTCTTGGCCAATTCCCCCGGGGATGCCAGCCACTGTCGGGGAGACATGATTATAATTAGATCTGTGGATATATTGATACTGGTTAGCCTGCGCTATGAATAGGGGGTTTGTAATATGTACAGCAGCCGACCACCCCACTCTGTGCTGACCTGACGTCAATCTCCTGGCTACTTCTCCTCTGCTCTTCCACCTACAAATATGCGCTGTTACAAATACTGGCTTGTGTTGTCCCTCTGTAACTCTCTAATTCCTCCTCCGCCTCCTCCTCCTTCTCCTCCTCCTCCTCCTCCTCCTCCTCCTCCTCCTCCTCCTCCTCCTCCTCCACCTCCTCCTCCTCCTCCCCCTCCTCCTCCTCTCCCTCCTCCTCCTCCTCCTCCTCCTCCTCCTCCTCCTCCTCCTCATCCTCCTCCTCCTCCTCCTCCTCCTCCTCCTTCTCCTCCTCCTCCTCCTCCTCCTCCTCCTCCTCCTCCTCCTCCTCCTCCTCCTCCTCCCTCCTGGTCCAGTATTATCGACACATTCTGGTGTGGGTGAGAGGAGGTGTTTTTCTAAAAAGATAGGAGGCCCAATGACCAGATTATAGTGTACCCACAGTCCTGGTGTGCTGTCCTGAGTGAAGTGTAGTAGGGGGAAGGTATGTGTCATGTTTGTGGTATTGTGCCAGGTTGGTGTCATGTTTGTGGCATTGTGCCAGGTTTGTGGCATTAGTCTAAGTATATGGTAGAAGTTTAAGACTACGGACTGACTGTGACAAATCTGTGTTTTAACAGGAATAGAGACTTCTGTCAAGAAAAGATGTGTTTCAATCAGTCCGTGTCTCACTAAATTGGCCGGAATGACAACTGTTCAGGACTCAGAGCCTGTCAGATCTAGTCCAATACCATTGGGCAGGTATCCTGCTATAAGTGCACATGTCAGGCCCTACGCTAAAATTGCTAGATTTCTCCTCTTTTCTCTCAGCTCTTCTCTCAACACCACTTCAGAATTGTCTTTTTATTTTTGTTTGTTGAGCATTACAGTTGGTGGCGTCCATGTTGAGATTCGATCACGACATCGTTTGCTTACTTAAGTGCGATGAAATGTTGCAAATAACTGTTTGATCTCAACGACTTGGCCAATAAGTAGCGAGCATTTTCAATCACATTATTAATGATCGATTGCTTTTACAGGCGGAATTAATTTAATAATAATATGCTTCCTTAATATATAAGAGCAAACTAAGTTTATCACATTTGAACGATAAATTAAACTTTTACAAACATAATGTTCTTGAAAAGTTGCAGAAAGCAACAAAACTGGTGACCCCCACAACTTTTCACTAACGTGTTGTAACGAAGGGGCGGGTCCACTGTGCAGCTGGTCTCTTACAAATACTTCTAGCTTTCTAGTTTAGTTTGCTAAACCTGGTACTGAAGAATTTGCCAGGTTACAACTTCACCCTCAGACCACCCGCCGCTGGATTAACCTGTTTGATACATAGTTTGCATTTGTTGCATTTGTTGTGCGTGCAGTACCCCTTTACTGGAAGACAATCTGGTATGACGTCTAAGAGATTCTATTTTCCACCTTTTAGTTCCACCTGTACCTACCTGCTTCCCTGGTTGCACGAGACTCACTAACCACCACCACTGTTACCGGAACAATTTGGCTATTTAACAAAGGCAGTGCCTGAATCGCGACTTCCTTGACAAGCTTACTTAAATGATATTCTGCTGAAAAATATGCAGGATTGCGCAGTACAAAAGACTACAGTTTTAGGATTATATTATAGACATTGTTGCAACTTCGAGTAATGGTTGTGCTAAACAGCCGTTACACCAGACTTTGATACCACAACCACTCTTTGTTAAATTCATTGTCGCTCGTGTCAGGTCAGCCTTATAACTTTTTCGTATAGTCAAATCTTTGATGGTCGAGGTTAATGATTACTTTTTGTGCTAGCTGTATGGAAATTGAATCGTGCCTATTACTGAGATGTTATCTGCTAGGTTTTTTTAAACATTTTGACGTAAACCTAAATAATTTACTGGTGTTTAAACGAAACGTAAATGTAATATTTTTTGCTGGACAAGTTTGACATCAAGTAATGAAACCTATCAGTATCATAATATTATGAAACCAGATCAATGCATAAGTCATTACTTGGGAAGCTAAACCAGTTGCGGTTGATCTAAATCAACGGCGTAATGTTAATTAACAATGATTTAGATTTATAAAAAATCAGTGGGTTAGCCTCCAGAGATTTGGCGCGTTCAGGAAATCCCCGTGTACGTGTAGCCGTAGGTCCTAGACGATGTTGAGTGGTACCCCAGCAGCAGCTTCGTAGTTCTCTGAGACTCAAGGATATTTAATGGTTGATGATAACTCGCTCTACACTGGACTATCACGCGAATTAGTACGTTCTAAAATTAATGTTAAACTCAAAAGTTAAAAGTTACGAAAGGTATTGGTCACGCACGCTCGAAAATTAATGTTAAACTCGAAAGTTAAGAAAGGTAGGTTTAAAACCAATATCTTATGCGCAACACACGCTGACACGCATGTGAATTAGTTGTTAGCACGACATAGTGCTCTCCATTTACCAGTCATTATGAAGCTAAATAACCCCGGATACACACCCGCACACACCTGCCCCGGAAGTGTGACCACAGCTGCAAAGTCTTTACCAAAATCCTGACACCTGCCGTTACACTGCAAGTGATAATGGTAATGGTATTGTACCACCGAACTCATCTGAGAAGAACAGCCGGCCATATCGCGGCTCTCTGTTCAACACAGCGATTATTGAAGGTTGCAAATATAGCCAGATTAGAAAATTATGCCAGCCTCTAGCGTCTAGCTGAACGACACATTCACTTCATTATGTGTGATCCGGGAATGACGTATAATCTTGTAGTTGCCCACAATGTCCGCGTCTTGTACTGATTGTTAGCTCTCTTAAGCTGGGGAGCCAATGCAGGAACGAGCAGTTACCTTTGTAAATGTTCATGCACGAAGCCACGTAACTTTAATATTACTACAATTTGAGAGCAAAATTTACCCGTCCTCGACTCCTTGCCATCATAATTGTGCTCGTTAAAGATGTCTGCCAGATTTCTGCGTTTATACGAAGAAGCGGCCGGAGCCTTGTTTCTTCCTACGTGTAACTACTCACATGATCTCCCTCACTGCAAGTGTAGCAGATCCAATAATGTTGATTGTGCGGGAGGAGACCGTTATAAGCTATTCTATAAATAGCAACAGTGCTGCTGCTGCTGCCCCCTGACGAGGGGGGAGACAGAGAGAGAGAGAGAGAGAGGGAGAGAGAGAGAGAGAGGGAGGGAGGGAGGGAGGGAGGGAGGGAGGGAGGGAGGGAGGGAGGGAGGAGAGAGAGAGAGAGAGAGAGAGAGAGAGAGAGAGGGAGGGAGGGAGGGAGGGAGGGAGGGAGGGAGGGAGGGAGGGAGGGAGGGAGGGAGGGAGGGAGGGAGGGAGGGAGGGAGGGAGGGAGGGAGGGAGGGAGGGAGGGAGGGAGGGAGGGAGGGAGGGAGGGAGGGAGGGAGAGAGAGAGAGAGAGAGAGAGAGAGAGAGAGAGAGAGAGAGAGAGAGAGAGAGAGAGAGAGAGAGAGAGAGAGAGAATCAGAAGTCATCATGCCCTCATTAACTCTACCATTAGATCTTCACCCATTGTTTCAGAGCTGAGAGAGGGAGAGAGAGTGGGGTGCGATAGTCTTGATGACAGGGGGCTGCTTTGTGGACCCCAGCCGCGGATATAGTGTGACGTGCGGGAACCAGCCCCACAATAGAGTCATCTTCAGCCTGTCTACAGTGAGATTGATTTCAAGCTAACTAACTGTTCTCTGACCGTTCAATAACCACTCTCACAGTGTACACTCGAGCAAGTGTGTCACAGTTCA